CAGCCTCGTCAGCATAACACCTGAGCAGAGCCTCTCGTAGAGCGCTGTTGCCTCGAACTGCGGCGTCCCAAGGACCAGAGCGAGCCGCAGCCCACACTTCCGCAGGGCGAGACCGCATGCGGCTCCACAAACGACCCAACCAGGTGAGCAAGCCTATGGCGCGATCCTTGCGCACATCAGGTTTGCGAAGCAAAACAACGATAGCGGTGAGCCACTGCCAAGGCCAAGCAACCTTGGCCTCGATCAAGTGAAACAAATCGAGTAGCGCGCGGCGGCCAGACTCAGGCAGCCACCAAACGTCCCGCTGGCCGACCGACTCGATGCCGCGCGCCTTACGAGGCGGCACAGCGCGAAGCGCCTCCTCCAGCTGGACCAGAGTGAGGGGCTCCAGCTCGTCCTGAAGCGCCAGCCGCCGAGCCCGCTGCAGCACGCGGAGCGCCTGGTCGTCGACGACGTTGGATGGCGTCCATATCGCACTCCAGAGCGCCGCCTTGGCCTCCATCACAGAGGCCGCATCAAAAGAAATATCGCCGTGCACTCTGACCTCGCTGACCTCGGCCGCGGGGTCACGCACAAACCGATGCAGAGCGCCACATCCCAGAACAGCCTGCTGATGGACCCAATCGCGAAAGGCGTGGTGACGCTGCCGAGCGACAGCGCGCTGGGCCTGGTCCGAGGCCCTGCGCGCCCCAGCAGCGAAGGCCGCCAACGACTCCGAGGTCGCCCCATCCAGAGTTCGCAGACCGCGAAGCCATCGATCACGACGACGGGCAGGCAGGGGAACGATCTGCGTAGACGGGATGGAGCCAGCCAGCTGCGTAAGCTGGTCGCGAAGATGCCGAGCCCGAGGGGGATTGCGCTTATCCCCCTTCTGGCCCACCAACTCATCCAACAGGTTAGCCACAGAGGCCCACCAGCGAGCGCTAGGATCAGCGACAGTGGGGTAAGGCTTACTCCCAGCATAAACTCCCAACTGAGGGCCCCGCAAAGAGTCACGACCACGGTGCTGCCTCCTCGCCAAGGGGTCCACCTTATACAATTCAAGATAATACAACTCCATGGTTGAGACCCAAGACGCGAACACATCCCCAAGGTCATGAGCTTCCTCCTCGGCCGCCTGAAACGCCAACGACTGCTGAACAAAATCAGGAACGGGTCGACGCGAAACTGAGGGCGCCACCTGCTGCCACAACAGATCCTTCGCCTCCGACGACCACTCCGACTGAATCGAGGCATACGTGTCCACTTCCGAATCAGAGACGGCCACCTGCGCATCATCATCATCAGCAGGGACGTCCGTGTCCTCACCGTCCGTGAAAAACTCGTCCTCCTCCTCGTCAAAAAGGGCGTACTGCAACGGAGGCGGGCTCTTGATGGCCAGCTTGCGCCTCGGCCCCCACGACGACGGAGCGGGCATGACACCCGGGTGGGGTTGAACTTCTCGGCCCGCCTGCTGCTCCGCTTTCTTCCGCGAACGCTTGCTATCAGGGTCAGCGCACAGCTTAGGCCGAGCAGGGTGTGGAAAGGCTCGCGGCAACCTCATGAGCCACGCTCTGGCACGGCAGGCGTCGAAGTTGAGGCTAAGCTGGAGCCCATAATGGGCCTTGCCCGCCCCCTCCACCGCCTGAAAGTCCGCTAAGAGAGACTCGACCCACGGCATTGCATGCGGAGAAGCCACGATATAATCCAACATGCGCCCTGAGCCCAACGTGCACGTGTACTCAGTGTTAGACGGAACGATCACACTGCCATTCACAAGACCCAACCACCCCGTACCTGCTAACTCTTTCGGGGTCATATTCCAATCACCGATGGCTAGCCACGGCCCTTGAACCGTCGAAACCAAAGTGCCCGCGTTAGCGAGCTTGGGAGCGTTAGCCTTCGGCCCGATCGAAGAGGTCATGTACACGCCAACGATCAACAACGACTGGCCCTGGGCCCGTAGCTGCATAGCCACCATATCACGGAAGTCGATGCCTGGCAGGGCCTCTGGGCGCCGATCCAGATCACGAAGCCCGACCTGGTCCGATGGCGACGACGCCAAATGCCGCATCGACTGAACCTTATACTTCTTCAAAGTGCCCATGGTGGTGCCACCTGCTCGAGACTTACCGTTCTGCTCGTAGGCGGCAGACAACATGCCGATGTAACCTGCCTTGCGCCAATCATGCAACAGCTCGTACGATCCAGCCTCAGGAACATGAATCTCAGGAAACACGAGGATATCAGCGGCACGACCTCGACAAACAGATCGCGTAGCAGGTCCCCATCCACCCAAGTTCCGCATGCACAGCGTACGGCGGGTTAAAACTGCATCAGATCCGACCTGGCCCCCGAGAAGGCGCTCCCCCCCGTTAACCCCTTGGAGACCGCTCGGAGAGCGGCGGGGGGGGCCTGCGGTTGCCAGGTCTGTACACGAACTGGAAGTCCCAGACGACGAAGCCACCACAGCCGCGGGGCCACCGAGACCGCACGCCTCCCCTCCTTCAGCGGTCCCAACAGTCGACACCGTCGACTGCGGACAGGGCTCGCGCCCACGCGCTGCAACGAAAGGGGGTGAGGGGATCCCAGTGGCCAGAGCGTCCGCAGCAGCGCCAGCACTTGTAGGGGCCGAACTCGTACTCGTAGCTGGCGGGCATGCCCCTCGACCATCAGGCCCGCCACGATCGAGGGGATCCGAACGGCTAAAGGCTCGGCGGCCCAGCCGTAGCCGCCGCCGAGCGCGCCGTCGCCAGCAACGCCTCCGCGTCCGCCTTGAGCTTGCTCTCCAGAGCCGCCAGGCGCGCCGCCTCCACAGCGTCGGGCTCGCCCCCGTCGCCCGCAGAGCCGCCTGCCGCCGAGCTGGCGGCTGCGCCCGAGCCCGCCTGGTTGGCCGAGGCCGCCGTAGGCGCAGGACCATCGCCCGTCGCCTCCGCCACCTGAGGTGGCCCAGGCGAGTGCTCCCTGCGCCGCTTGGCGACCTTCTCGCGCATCGCCGACAGGTTGTCGCGATGCTCCTTGAGCTTCTCGTGAGCCTCACCGAACGTGGCCCGCAAGGTGTGCATCAGCGCATCCATGACAGCCTTTTTCCGACGATCAAGCTCTTCCATATCCTTTTGCTCAATGAGCCCGTCCTCATTATTGAACTCTGCACCAAGAGAGATGGAGAACAGCGAGTCGTCCACCGACTGCGCCGACAACAGCGCCGACAAATCGATGGTGTTGCTCGCCTGAGCGCCACCGCCCGCAGCCGTCGGCACCATGGAGCGGAAAAGGGTGGCCCTCTCCGCCTCAGCCTGTGCCAACGTCTGCGCTGCATCCTGGAGCGTCTTCTTACACTTTTCCAATTCCTTGGTCAACTTCAACTGCTGAGATTGGGCCTTGTCGAAAGCCGACTGAGCCCGTTGCACCTTCGACGCAGCCGCCGTCACCTGCTGCGTGATCGGCTGCGCCGTGTCCGTCTTCTTGCCAGCGGCCCGCGTAGCGTCCAGCAGCGCCTGGGCCGCCTTCGCCTGCTCGGTGCCGCCGCGCTCCTTGATGACCGCCTCAAGCTGCGCCTCCAAAGCGCCCTGGTCCTTCCCCTTGCCCTTGCCCTTGCCAGGCTTGGGCCCGCCACCGCCCTCGTCGGCCTCGGGCGGCGGAAGGTTGCTGAAAGGCGACCCGTAGAGGCAAGTATTCTTATACATCGCCAACTTACTCGTCCAGGCCCAGCGCGGACACGCCGAGCACTTCACCTTGGTGTCCTGAGCCTGGGGAGACTCACGCTGGTGCCGCACAGCCCCAGGCAGGGGCGGCGGCGGCGGCACGTACCACGTCTGAGGCACATGCCATGGCGCCCACCCGATGCCGCTCCCCCGCGGCGCGGCCTGCTGAGGCCCAGGACGGAGCGGGAGCGGCGGCCATGGGTCCCCAGGCTGCACCTCCTGCTGCTTCTTCGCGTTGCGAGAGCGCTTGCTCTTGCCCATCGTTTTTGCTACCGACTATTTGTGATCTGGATCCCGCCTCGGGGACTGTCGATCCCAGCCGAAATCGCGTGGAGATTGTCGGGGGCCACAAAAGCCCGTGGTGCGCCTCAGCACCTCGGGCGGTCGGGGCCCAAACGGCTAGGAGGAAGGAGAGGAGGAGGAGAAGGAGGAGGAGGAGGAGGAGGAGGAGAAGGTGGAGGAGGAGGAGGAGGAGGAGGAGGAGGAGGAGGAGGCGGAGGAGGAGGAGGAAGAGGAGGAGGAGGGAGGGACGAGGACGAGGACGAGGACGAGGACGAGGAGGAGGAGGAGGAGGAGGAGGAGGAGGAGGAGGAGGAGGAGGAGGAGGAGGAGCGAGGAGCGGGAGGAGGAGCGAGGAGCGAGGAGGAGCAGGACGAGGAGGAGAGGAGGAGGAGGAGGAGGAGGAGGAGGAGGAGCTGAGTGGGTCGCCCAGCTTTTGGCTCTCTGTGGAGTCCACACCCTGGGACTCGTGTGAAAATCCTCGGCCGAGACGGGGGCGGCCTGAGCAGGCCTCGCCGGAAGGCAACAAGAAAGAGCTTGCGGAGAGGCCCGGGCGCGCCCTCGCGAAGGCTGCCCGGACCTGGGTGCCCGCCTGCCCCCCACCCCCACACTCGGGTGTTGCTGGGAGGAGGAGAAGGAGGAGGCGGAGGCGGAGGAGGAGGAGCGGAGGAAGAGGAGGAGGAGGAGGGAGAGGAGGAGGAGAGGAGGAGGAGCAGGATGAGGCGGTGGAGGAGGAGGAGGAGAGGAGGAGGAGAGAGGAGGAGGGAGGAGGAGGAGCTCCTCCTCCTCCTTCTCGGAGGAGGAGGAGGAGGAGGTGGAGGAGGAGGAGGAGGAGGAGGAGGAGGAGTGCCCCTTGTTCAAGGTGCCCCCAGGATCTCCAAGGAGGCCCCCACGGCCTACGAGGCAACCCTCACCAGGCCCAGAGGGCCCCAGAGGCTCGACAATCAGCGAACAGCTGGCGGCACCTTGGACCAGGGGCACCTCCAGCAACCCCCGACCCACCCACCCCCCGCCCCATTGAGGCGCGCCGCCAAGCACCCCTCGCCCGCGCCCTCGGCCTGCGTCGGCGGCACGCGGGGCCCCTCCTCCGAGGGCAGCGCCAAGGGCTTGGGTACCACTTCTGCGAGGCGGGGGCCCGGACAGGAGCCCCGCCGAGGGGGGATCGATCTGCGGGGGCATCGGCAGGCGGCGGGTATGGAAATCTTTGCCCCCCCCCCCCCCCCGAGGGTTCGAACATATCATCCTCCTCCTCCTCCGCCTCCTCCTCCTCCGCCTCCTCCTCCTCCTCTTCCTCCTCCTGCTCCTCCCTCCACCGCCCGCCCCAAGTCCCGAGCCTGTGGCAGGGTCATCAGCACGTCGTTGTCGTTGTCGTCGCGGTCGTCGCCGTGGTCGTCGTCGTCGCGGTGGTGGTCGTCGTCGTCGTCGCCCTTGTGGGTCGGCGGCACTGGCCGTAAGGCCTTCACAATATTCGCCACCCCCCATGGGGTTCGAAAATATCCACATGCACACTACCGAGGTCCTCAGAAGAAAGATCGACCCCGCAGGCGGTGGTCAAGGCGAGATCTCCGCGTCGGGCCATTGGCAGGGCGGACGAGCGGTGGGGGTGGGGACAGCGGGGTAACAACTGGCCTTTCGGGCGCCTCCCGGTAGCAGAGGCGCGCCCGCGCCCGCGTATCGAGGAGAGGGCGTTGGGCCAAATCAGCCGCGTGCAGCAGATGCAGTGGAGGCCAGTCCACAAGAAGCCTCCCCCAAGAAACCCAACCCTGAGACACCAGGGCGTCCCTTGATTTCTGGCGTGGGAAAGTCACGCTTTCCAGATGAAAAAATCGAAACCCAAGAAGCCCAAGGCACCCTGGAGGCAAGCAGGGTGTTACTTGGCATGGGTCTCCACGGTGTCCCCCCCCTGGCGCGCCACTACCGGGGTCGCCACCTCCTCGCCCCACAACGTGCAGGAGATCGCCCCAAACAGAGGCCTCGAATCTCGACCCATCGGGAGGAAACGGCGAAATCCCACACCAGGAAGCTGGGAACACCTTTTGTTCATCAGCGGCAAGGCGGCGAACTCCGCTCCAATGAGAAACTAGATTTTGGACGCCCAGAATTGGTACGGAAAAAATTGGCAAAATGCCAAACAACAAATGTTGTCCCAAACCAACAGCGGCCAATGTTGGGCAGGCGGCCTTCTGTCTCAAACGGACACAGCCGCGGCGGCGCGGACAGCGAGCCCTGTTCAAGATGAAGAGGAACTGCTGCTGGGCATTGCACCCATTCTTCCCGTACCTATGTCGTTCGTGCCGATAGACAGGGGCACTCACTGACGAACTGGCCGGCGAGCACAGAGGGAAGGGGGGCGGCCGAGAGGAACTACAGGAAGCTGGGAGCACACACGCGTTGGTACATCTGGAGGCCGCGCGCGGGATGCACGCGCGGAACCGCCGCGCACCTTGGCATCCATCCAAGTGCCGAGCGCTGAGACGGCACCTGCCAAGCGTGCACAAAACACCTCGACCAAACCTGCCGCGCCACGCGTCAACGGTATCCGTTGGCAGTGGTGGACCGATGATGCTCAGAACGTGTGCTAGCGCCAACATGTGCTACTCACGACGCAGGCAGCGCAATGAGGGCCGACACGGGCTGCGTGCGATGGATGGAGCTGAAGGGAAGGGGACAACACACACATGGGACCATCACACGTCCTGAGGATCATCGAGCGGAGCCCCCTCGACACGGCCCCCTCGTCCTCCACCGCCGCGGGGCCCGGCTCCAGCAGGCAGCGCAGGTCGGCGACCCAGGGCCCCAGCGCCTCCGACGGCAGCTGCTGCAGCACCATACGCTGCCCCCGCAGGTGCAGCACCAGGCTGGTGTCCGCCGCCTCCCGGCACCCGAAAGCACGTGGGCTCGGGGAGCCAGAGCGGATCGGGTCGTGCGTCGGATCGGGCCACAGTCGCGGGGAGTCGAAGTCGGGTCGGATCGCCCGCGCCAGGACGCACCGCCGCGCCATGCGAGCATCGGGCCGCCATCGGATTGAACGTCGGGATCGCGCCCGACGGAGTCGGGACCGAGTCAGATCCATCGGACTGAGGTGGCGCCTGCCTCCAGGCTGACAACCTCGTCCAACGCCAAGTGGCCGCGCGGGGCGCCACCGCTGGAGGCGTCCTCGCCGTCGCGGAAGTAGTCCAGCCGGTCACCGTACAGCACGAAGTACCGAGGGCGAGGAGGAGGGGCAGGAGGAGCAGGAGGGGGGAGGAGCGCAGGAGTGGAGCAAGAAGCAGGAGCAGCGACAGTCTGCTGAGGCTGTTTGTTCTGGGCGGCAGGACGCGCTGTCAGGTAGCGCGTCAACTCTCTCGCTCTCTCGCTCTCTCTCGTGGTTGGGCCCAGGCTCAGGGCGATCATCTGACTGAGACGTTTGTTGGGCAGGTCCAGCGAGCGCCGCCCCGGCGTGCCAAGCCAGGACAGGCGAGATGCCCAAGCAGACTGAGGGCGCCGAAAAACATGAGGAGCCCGTGGCGGCCCTTCGAGGAGAGCAACAAATATGACACTGACAGCAGCACCTGTGGAATTGCATGCACCCCGGAACGTCAAACGGGGCAGCAGAGCACACTGTGCGGTTGATCTCATAGCTCCTGAGGAGACGGCATAGGGTTAGGAAGAGTCAGCAGACAATACGACTTGCAGGGAGGAGGGGATAGAGGGATACGGAGGAGGAGGAGGAGGAGGAGGAGGAGAATGAGGAGGAGGAGGAGGAGGAGGACAGAAGAGGAAAGTATAGAGGAGGATAGAAAGGGCAGGAGGAGAGGAGGAGAGAAAGAGAGAGGAGGAGCGGAGGAGAGAAAGAGATGAGAGGGGCAGCAGGAGGAGAGGAAGGGCGGGAGCAGAGGGAGCAGGATCAGCAGCACCACGATGAAGGCGAGGACGACGTGTCGAGATCGGGGGGCAAGATCATCGCCTCACGGGGCGCATTCTGACCAGGATCTCGAGGCGAAGGCAACCATGGCGACGACGACACCCCAGGAAGCCCACGGCGGCGAAAGCGAGGTAACGGCAGCGGCGGTACTGGCATCTCCCCCTCCCTCGAGAGATCCCGCTGCGCGCAAGGATGCCCATTGTAAGCAAGAGTGACCTTTAGAGCGCGGCTCTCAGGGGGGCCCTCCTGGTGGGGAGGGGGAGCAAACACAAGCGCGCAAGCCGGTGCTACCGCATCGCATTCAGCGGTTGGGAGATCCCAGTGGGTCAGTCGGCGGCGAGCCAGGGGGGAAAGTAGACGGGGGGGCCTTCTCAGCAGGCTAGGAAGTCCCACGACCTTCTGACAAGTTGTTCTACAACCTTCCCCGAAGATAGAAGAAACTTCTCCGAAGGCGCGAGGGTTCTTGAGAAGCCCCGCCGCCTTCTGAGAAGGCCTTCTCCTTCTCACTTCTCCCCCCGCTCGCCGCCGAATGTGGTTTTCGGGTCAGAACTCGGGTCTCTGGCGGCCGTTCGGGACGATCCGGGCATCCTCGGAACGCTCTCGGCGAGGCGCAGCCGCTGGAACGCATCCCGACGGCGGCAGACCGCCAGGACACTACGAAGACGCCCGGAAACCTAGAACCTCGAAGTTGGAACCTCGCTCGCCGCCAAGCTCTGGAGGAGGGTCACTCTTTCCTCTAGGAGGAAAGAGTGACCTTAGTACGAGGCACCGCGGCTCCACGCCCTTCCGCTTCTGCATCCCCAGCATCCCCCGGCGAATGGCCGGGCCCGGCGCCGCCATGGCGGCGGCGCCGGAGGGCGGGCGCCTCCGTGGGGGGAGCCGGGAGGCAGGCAGCCGCCCGGCGCCGCGCTTGGGGGGGGGGGGGGCGGGGGGAGGGAGGGCGGAGGGAGCTGGGGGAGGAGGAACGGCGGGGGAGGAGGGGGAGGGGGAGGGGGGGGAGGAGGGGGAGGAGGAGGGAGGACGAGGGCGAGGACGAGGCGGAGGAGGAGGAACGGCGGGGGAGGAGGGGGAGGGCGAGGTGGGGGAGGAGGAGGAACGGCGGGGGAGGAGGGGGAGTGGGAGGAGGGGGAACTCGAGGCCTCCCTGATGGGGTCCGCGTAGACTTGGTCGAAGGGTCGCACCGTATCGGCAACGCATCGCCTACGCATCGGCGATGCATCGGCGATGCATCAGCCACGTCGGCGATGCATCGGCGCCGTCGGCGTGGGGAAACACGGACTCCACGTCGAGCTGCATCGTCGATACATCGGCGATGCGGCGCGGTCCTCCGACCTCCTCTACTCGGACACCATCTAGGAAGCCGAGGGAGGAGTGGGAACGTCCATCGCCATCGCCATCGCTCGGACGTCCATGCCCCGTGCAGTCTTCGGTGTCGAGCGCTTTTTTGTTGCTAAACGATCCAAAATGCTCTCCGATGGCCCTCGCCGAAACAAAGGAGCACCTCCGAGCGATGCCGTGAGGAGGGGTGGTGGAAGGCGAGCGAGGTCTCCTCCGAAGACTTGCGGGGCCGGCGGAGGGGAGGAGAGGAGGGGGGGGGAGCAGGAGCGGGCCCAGACTCCCTCTCGTGCCGAGAAGACCTGCAGGCTTCTCGGCGATGCCCGGTGCCTGGAGGCGCGGTGCGGGCCCGCCTCCCCAAGGAAACCATCCGGGCAGAAGTTTGGGCCGAGGGAGCGTGTCGAGGGCACTCGTGGCCCACGAAGCGAATCGTTCACGGCGTCGGATGCCTGGGCGGCGAGGGGAGGTGGGGGGGGGGAGGGGGAACAAAAACAATACCTCCCCCTATGGATCCTCCTGGAGGTCGGCCCGCTCAAAACATGGGGCTGCCGCCCCTCCGAGAGGCCCGCGGGGCGGTCGAATGCATGCAGGGACTCCTGAAGGGGGGGCTCGGTGACCGGAGGGCGCATTTGAGCACTGTGGATGCGTGCAGGGTTCACCGTAGGAGCTCGACCACAAGAAGCCTTCCACAAGAAACCCCAACCCTGAGACCCCAGGATGTCCATTGGTTTTTGGTGTGGGAGCGTCACGCTTTCTATGGCAGAACCATCGAAACTCGAGAAGCCCAGGACACCCTGGAGGCAAGCAGAGTGTTTCCTGGCATGGTTTCCAACTGTACTTCTCATCCTCCTCCTTCCAGAATGGAGCTGGCAGTGAGGAGGGGAACGGAAGATTGGTGAGTGCGGGGGGAGAGCGGGGAGCGGAACGGGGCGGGGAGAGGGAAAGGGAGGGAGGGTGACCAGGATGACACGCGGGGGGGGGGGATGGGGAGGAGAGGGAAAAGGAGAGGGCGAGCGGGGGGGAACGGAAGAAGGAATGGGGAAGGGGCAGAGGGGGGGGAGGACGGGGAGGAGGGGAGGGGAGGGGAGAGGGCCACGCGCTTGGGCCAGAGAGGCTGAGGACACGCGCGCGCGAGAGCTTCCCTTCCCAGGCGCTGCGGCGCAAATCTTGTGGGGACTGCTCACAGGAGGTGCGGTATCCAAGCGGCGGGCTCCATCCCCTACGCCATCATCTCCACTCCCCTCGCCTCTGATATTTCCCTCACCGTCCACTCACCCCCTCCCTCCAGGAAGCACCACCATCAACAATCGAACCTTACTCGCCATAGGCTAGCCGACTCATCTGCCTTCCGTGAATATTGTTTCACTTTGCGAGGGATCAACCGACTAAATCCTGGCAGTAACATCTGTGCGCTATAAATGCATTCAAGGCAGTAATCGCAACGCGCCGACATTTCGTGTTCAGAGATGCAGATGCAGGGGGCTGAACGAAGTGAACGATGGATGGACAAAGGGGAGCGCCATCACACACACGCGCGCACACACAAGCATACACGAAACACATCCGTGTGTAAGGACAGCGGCGATGAACACATCACCTAACACATCACACGCGCAATCTCAGTCATACAAACTTGAAGGTTGCGATCCTACGTCTAAGAACAACGTCTCATATTTCTACACTTACACGGAGCTCCTGGCCGCTATTGGGGATCGACTCGCGGCTTTTCTGGAGGTTTCTGGACGGTGGTTTTGAGTCTATGATTCCCACGTTGCGTAAGGTAGCCCCGAGGGCCGTCGCGGGGCTCTCTCGGTGGCCTCTTGGACAAGCATGCGGGCCCCAGACCTCTTCCAAGATCTCCCTCTGGCCTGGACGCAGGGGGCGGGGCCGAGGGGTTAGAGCGTCCTGGATGGCCCGAGATAGCGCCGAGAAGGCCCCCCCCCATGCCCCAAAATGGTTTCCAAGACGGCCCAGATAGTAGAGGATGGCGCATGATAGCGTCGGACACGCCTCCGAGAGGCTCTAAGATAGCCACAAGTGCCCCCAGATCCACCCTGGGACCCCCCAAAGAGACAAACTTCCTCCCTGAGACCCCCCAAAGAGACAGAAAGTACATGTGTGTGGTTTCTCGGCTTTTCGCTTCCGATGGGCCTCTGAGGTTGCACGATGGCGCCCAGATGGCCCCAGAGGGAGCCAAAAGAAGGAGCCTGAGAGGGCTCCACGACAACCCATCAGGACTCCAAGGTGGCCCAAAGAGGCCATGCCGAGGCCTTCGAAAGGTGTGAGGGGGGAAGGGGGGTGGGAGGGGAGGGGAGGGGGGGGGGAGGAGGAGGAGGAGGAGGAGGAGGAGGAGGGGAGGAGGGGGAGGAGGAGGAGGAGGATGAGGATGAGGAGGAGAATGAGGAGGAGGAGGAGGAGGAGCGAGGAGGATGAGGGAGGTGAATGAGGAGGAGGAGGGAGGAGGGAGGGAGGAGGAGGAGGAGGAGGAGGAGGAGGAGGAGGAGGAGGAGGAGGAGGAGGAGGAGCGAGGAGGAGCGAGGAGGAGCGAGGAGGAGGCGGCGGCGGCAGGCGCATCAGAGGGGTGTCGACGGCATCCTCGAACTCGGCCACGGGCAGAAGGCACGGGGACTGGCCGACCATTGCGTCGTCAACTTCTCTTCTAGCGGGCGCCGCGGTTCTAAACCTGAGAGGAAAAGGACCACGCGTGGCCTAGTGGCACGGGGCTCCCACCCGCCCCCCTACCACGGCTGGCACCCACGCTTCGAAGGCAGGGTTGGGCCGTAGGGTGCAGGGCCCAAGGGGGCGGGGGACACAAGACTTAAAGTTCAAACCACCAGAACCCCAGGCGGCGGAGAGGGGACAGGGGAGAAAGGGAACCAGCCAGCAAGCCAAGCCAGCACGCAGGGAGGGGCAAGCGAGGAGCCAGCGAAGCAAGGGAGCAGCGGGAGGGGCACAGCAGAACGCAAGCGGGCAGAGAGGAGCCGCCTGAGGTAAAGCCCCCCCTGTTCAAAGTCGCAGGGAGGGCATCAGGAGTCCGTAGGGACTCTTGGACCGTAAGGGCCCTGGATTCCCCCCAGGCGCCGCGAGGCCAAGGGCGTATCCCCAGCGAAGGTCCGAGACAACCCGTCCCAAGACAAGAGGCAAAAACAAAACGAGAACAACTAATGGTTCCGAGGTCCCAGTCCCAGGATATCTAAGATGCTGCGGAGGGGGGAGAGAGGCTTCAGACGAGGAGGAGGGGGAGACACGGCTGCCCGCCGCGGCAGGCGCTGAGTGGCTCACTGAGGCCTCAGGGGGGTCGTATTCAGTTCCGGGCGATAGCCTCTGGATCCTCCCTGTCGTCAGTGATGACGAACTGGCCTGTCTCGAAATTCCTCGTGGCCTCATCGAGCTGTGTGGAGATAACCCCTGAGAACTGTGTGGCCCCATCGACGTCGAGGAGGTCCCAATCAGTGTCGAGATGGTTGCAATCGGAGTCGCACCAATAATGCTTCCACCATCCTCGTCCCTGGCCACGGCCCCAGTGCTCAGTCGTCCAGGCCGTCCAGGTAGAGCTGCAGCAGCCTGGCGTTGTGGGACCGCGGCGGGGTCCCGTGCTTGTGGATCCCGCCCAATTGGACAAGGGCGTTCACGACCGTCTGTTCCAAGTCCGTGTTCGAAACCGCGAGGAATAACTTCACTTTGTCCCCTGCGAACGTCGTCTGCATCCTGCAATGCTTCACCTCCTGAGCGAGCGTCTCGTTGCTGCGGCGCTCGTGGTGAAGCTGGTCGCGGTACTCTGTGATTTTCTGTAGATTGGCCTGCCCGATTCTCTCCCTGTCCCACTAGCGCCCCGATCAATGCGACCCAGACGTGAGGATGCGGGGCGCCGAGCTGCGTCAGCTCTGGAACGTCCTGCCCAGCCTGGATCGCCTCCTTGTGATCCTTGCGAAGTCGGGCCGCCTCGTTGCCGTAGAACTTGGCTGTCACCTGCATCGCCTGGATCACGTCGTGCTTTGCTTGCATCTGCACGTGCCTGTAGGTCACCGCCTCCAGGTGGTTGATGGCTGCTTCGTGGCGCAGGGCCACGCGAGCCAGCACTGGCACCATCGCCTGCACCCAGTCGAGGGGCATCCTCGTCAGCTGGTCGACGTCGCGCTGGGCGAGCCCGAAGTGGGTGTCGGTGGCGTCCCACACTGAGTTCGGCTGCCGTACGCCGCCTGCTGGTGGCGGTGCGCCTTGCTGGCGCGCTGGAGCGGGCACCTCTGGGCCTCGGCGTCCGCGACGAGGGGCGCCGCGCTCGTTGCTGCGGGTCCGATCTCCTCCGCGGGCGCCCCCTCCTCGAAGCTCCTGCTGCCGCTGTTCTGTCCCAATGCTCAGCGTTCTCTCCGCGAGAGAGGACATCGACCCACATGTCGGGTGCTGGGGGGGGGCGTGCGCAATGCGGATGTGCTCCTGCAGGGCGTACAGCGTGTGAAACTCGCCTTGAGCCTGATCAACTCCAGTACGGATCAGTCTCTCACGATGGATCGGATGGGCACTCTCGAGGTCCACACACACGGGGCAGAAGAGGGTCCCTGGGTTCAGAACGGCGGGAGCGAAGGGGCTGTAGTCTGCTAGGCACCTCTTGAGCTTGAGGGACTGCATAACGTGTCTCTTCGCAAGGACCACGGAGGAGAAGGACGAGGAGCAGTAAAAGCATAGGTTTGTCACGACTAACTGATAAAGGGGAACGCGACAACGATGTTCGGGATGGTGACATTGGTGTGCTCTCAGGGCCGCTCGAGAGGTAAAGACGCTGTTGCAAGGTTCCCCATCCCCCACTGGAAGTTCACAAACGTACTCATGAAGTGGAGGCTCTGGAGGAACAGGTATGCCAGGGTCCACGGGGGCTCGAGGAGGCCGTAGAGGATCACGCGACTGCTGGTTCCAATACTCCTTGCGAAGACCCTGGGGGTCCAACTTAGCAAACGCCAGTCCGATACGGTAGTCCGAGAAGATGTCTTTGATGGTGTACCCACGATCCCAAAAATCTGTTCCTTTTGGTGTGAGTCTCAATGTGAGCGCATCGTTTTGAAGCTGCACTGCCCACGGGTTGGACTTTTCTCTGACCCAGCCTGCATCATCGAACACTGGAGCGTCCTCCAGCGACGTGAAATTGCCGAAGAGAGCGGCGACGGCCTGTACAGAGTCGCTCGGGCTCTTGGCCAACTGCTGCCAGTAGCGGATCCTGCGCACCAGCAACTCCGTGCGCGTGTCCGCTATGCGAAGCATTTTGTGCAGCTTCCACGCAGGGGGGGTCCGAACTTTCTCCTGGCCATCGATCGTCGAGAAGCGAGCGAGCGAGGAGGAGGCGGAGGCGGAGGCGGAGGCGGAGGAGGAGGAGGAGGAGGAGGAGGAGGAGGAGGAGGAGAGGGAGGGGAGGGGGAGGAGGAGAGGAGGAGGATGAGGAGGAGGAGGAGGAGAGGAGGAGGAGTGGGAGCCGGGGGAGCGTTCGGCGCCCTACTGCCGAAGAGGTAGGAGTCCTCGCAGTGGCCGTGCGGCTTCGAGAGCCTGGCGGGGACACGCACGGGCTCGCGGGCGGGAGGCTCCTCTCTCTCTCTCTCTCTCTCTCTCTCCCCCGTCATCCCCCCCTTGCTCCGCCCCACTCCTCCCCACTTCCTTCTCCCTATCCCTCCTTCTAACTCCTCCTCCTCCTGCTCCTCGCTCCTTCGCTCCTCGCTCCTCGCTCCTCGCTCCTCGCTCCTCGCTCCTCCTCCTCCTCCTCCTCCTCCTCCTCCTCCTCCTCCTCCTCCTCCCTCCTTCCTCCCTCCTCCCTCCTACCCTCCTCCTCCCTCCTCCCCCCTCCTCCTCCTCCTCCTTCCTCCTCCTCCTCCTCCTCCTCCTCCTCCTCCTCCTCCTCCTCCTCCTCCTCCTCCTCCTCCTCCTCCTCCTCACTCCTCCTCCTCCTCCTCCCCCTCCCTCCTCCCACTCCTCCTCCTCCTCCTCCTCCTCCTCTCTCCTCCTCCTCCCCTCCTCCTCCTCCTCTCCTCCTCCTCCTCCTCCTCCTTCCTCCTCCTCGCTCCTCCTCCTCCGCTCCTCCTCTCCTCCTCCTCCTGCTCCTCCTCACTCCTCCTCCTCCTCCTCCTCCTCCTCCCTCCTCGCCTCCTCTTCCTCCTCCTCCTCTCCCTCCTCCTCCTCCTCCTGCCTCCTCCTCCTCCTCATCCTCCTCCTCCTCCTCTCCTCCCTCCTCCTCACTCCTCCGCCTCGCTCCTCGACCTCGCTCCTCGCTCCTCCTCCCTCGCTCTCCTCTCCTCCTCCCCCCTCCTCTCCTCCTCCTCCTCCCTCCTCCCTCTCTCCCCACTCCTCCTCCTCCTCCTCCTCCTCCCCCCCACTCCTCCTGCTCCTCCTCCTCTCTTCCTCCTCCTCCTCCTCCTCCTCCCTCCTCCTCCTCCTCCTCCTCCTCGCTTCCTCCTCCTCGCTCCTCCTCCTCGCTCCTCCTCCTCGCTCCTCCTCCTCCTCCTCCTCCTCCTCCTCCTCCTCCTCCTCCTCCTCCTCCTCCTCCCCGAGGAGGGCGGGAGGGACTGTTACGGCGGACCGCTGCTGATGCGGCTCCCGCGGGGACGCAGCAACATGCGGAAGAAGACGGGGACACGGGCCCCTGCACGCCGAGGACATTCATCAGAGACTCACCGGCGCCGAAGACGGAAAAGGAGCAGGCGTGGCTGAGCCAAAACGATGCGATCAACACCAAAAAGCCGATGAAGAAGCCGAATCCGTGAACCACACCTGGCAAAACATGTCATTGGCACCTGGCTCGGCGACGAGACTGGCGAGCGCGGTGCCGTAAAGATCCCGCACCTAGAAGATGAACATCAGGGGGAATGAAAAGCCAGAGGCGCTGAAACATCGTAACACACCGGTCTGCGACAGCAGGTGCACTGCGAAGCGGCAGAAGTCCGCCTTGGGTGAGCCACAACATCGCTAGCAAGCTAATCCCGCGAACGTCCCAAGCGGGCAAGGTCGAGGAAGTGCAATTCATCCCGCGAGTACCTGCCAGAGGTAGCGCCATCCCCGCCATCATGAGCAACACGTGCAATCAAGCATTCAGGAGCGGCTGCTTCATCCACTCCGCGATCCCGACAATCCGAAATAGAGACCACCCGCGCGCCACAGTCAGCGGAAACATCTGGCCCTCCATCGCCATCATGAGAAACGCGGCCAATACATTCGACGGACTCCCCGACGCTCACCAAACGACCCTGCGAGGCACCGGTGTCGTTGGAACCTCCCAAAACGGGCCGCATATCCTTCTTCAGCTGCTTCTTCTGCCTCTTCTTCTCCCTGTTAAGCCCCTGGCGCTCCTGCATCTCCTCCGGACAGCGACCGTGGTGAACAGGAGGGCCACCTACGTAGTACGCCTCGGCGGGGGTGGCGGAGGTCGCGATCTCCGCGGCGGCGTCCTCGGCATGAGGACTGCCGGAGGCGGCGACTGAGGCAGACTCGAAATCAGCGTACGCGGGGCCAGCCAGTTCACGAGCGACGTCAGCAGGGTGGGGACCAGGAAGCGGATGGCATGTCGCACCGAAGCGTGGTGGGCCAGAACCGGCGGAGCGACACGCCAAGCCAAGGTTATCGACTGTATCCTCTCAGGAGCATCTCAGGACCGTCTCGAAAGCCTCTCAAGAGCATCTTAGCTAGCCTCTCGGGAGATTGTCGGGACCTTTCCAGGAAGCCTCTCAGAACCCTGCTATCAGAGTGCGTGGCTGGGACCATCTGACATATGGCCTCCAAGATGGCTCCAGGAGGGCCCCAAACGGCCTCACAAAGGAGAGGGCCTCAAATGCTTCCAAGGGGGGCCCAAGGCACCTCCACGATGACTACAAGATGGCCTCCAACAGGGGCCCAAGGAGGGCCTCTAAGTTCAGCACTGGTGGCCTTTATTGTTGAACGATGTGATTATTTCCTTCCCTGCTTCAGGCTGAGGGTGACAAGGGAGAGAGAGGGAGAGGGTCATGGGAGAGGGGAGATGAGGGCAAACATCACATTGCCTGGGGGTGATTGGGAGGGGAGGGACTGTGGGGAGGGAGGGGGACGGTGACTGAGGAGGGGGGAGCCCAGGGGAGGAGAAGGAGACATGAGAAGCCCAGGGCTGTGCGACGGGACACATTCCCCCCATGTTATCCTTTTCCCCTTCCTTCTCCGGCGCAGCATTTCCCTCTCCCTCTCCCCCGTCTCCTTCGCCCTCCGCCGCTCACCTTCCCCCTCTCCTCCCCTGCCGTCCCCCTCTTAAGATATTCCCCCACCCTTTTCGTTCCCCTTTGCATCCCCCCCCCATTGCCCCCTCCTTCTCCAGACGGGGCTCATGGTGGGCCATACACGCAGACGACAACTTGGACCCTCGATCCTGCCCCCCACTATCCGCCACGACTCCCCTGGCCAAGGCTCAATGCAGAGAGGGGCGCTGATCTCACCGACCAGCCCTCACCCCGACAGACCCCCCCGCCCAGGCGGGGCCCAGATCTGCGCGAGAGCGGCGCGCGGGGATGAACGGATGACGGGAGGAGGAGGAGGAGGAGGAGGAGGAGGAGGAGGAGGAGGAGGAGGAGGAGGAGGACCGAACAACACAAGCAGACCTACGCCCACAGGAGGGTCAGAGGGAGGAGCCCTGGCCATGGGTATGGGTGCAGGTTGTCGGACCCTGGGTGGGGCTCCCATTCAAGCGGGGAACCCCATCCGACAAGGCCCACTCGTAGCTCCCCCCGTCCCTCCTATGGGCATGGGTGCGTGGTGTTCGTTTGGCCTAATGGGTGGGAGGGCAAGATATGCCGGGGACTGGGAGGCGAGGACGAGCGGGAGGCGAGGGAAGGGAGGAGGCGGATGGACCTGGAGGCGCGGGATCGGCGGGGTCCGACGGCAGAGTGCAATTGGGTTGGGGGGACGGGGGCGGGGATATTGAGCGGAGGGGGCGGGGATCATTGGGACAACCAGGGTGAGCGCCTCACGCTGGCGTGGCTCCTGCCGGCAAAACGCTCTCTGAAGATCTGAAGAGAACCGTTGTGAGCTGGCCTATGAGGGGACCGCAGACACGATGGGCGTCGTGACTCTTAATCTTAACTCCCCCGGGATGGCGCTGACTCTTTCCCCCAATAAGGTTATCAATGAGGCGGCTGTCGCCGAAGCAGCTACGGGAATCGAATCAGAAAGGAAACGCGGAGGAGGGAAGAGGAAGAGGGAAGAGGAGGAGGAGGGCGTGGAACAGCAACTAGGAGGGCGGATGGAAACAGAAGGAGGAGCAATCAAGGCGGAAGGAGGGCGCCAGGGGGCGAGGAGAGTGGGGAGGAAAACAATGAGGTCAAGATTGCGAGGGAGAACGAAACGAGAGTGGACAACTCGCATCGTGCAGTTTCACCCGTAGCTTTTGTCCAGCCCGTTCTTGTTCGATCGGAGAGGAGGCCGAAAGCGGGAGGGGCGGCAGGGGGGGGGGGGGGGAAGGGCAAGGGCGCCCGCTCTCGGGCGGGTGCTAATCAGGGGGTTGCCCGAATGGGGGGTGTAGGAACGGGCCCCAGAACGGGGCCCCTTGGGGGTCTCTTTGGTGCCCCTGCTGGCTCTCGAAGGGGCCCTGAAGGGCCCCATGTAGGACCCCTTTTCTTCTTCCTTCCTTCCTTCCTTGGAGTCGGGCAGGGGCCGTGGCCCGCCCCACGGCGCCAGAGATCTCAGGGCGGAGCGATGCTGATGAGATGCTGCAGCGACGACTCTACGGCAAGCGCCTCTGTGTGGAAGCGCTCCTCTCTCCACCCCCCATGTAGGCCATCCCCATGGATAGAAGAAGCAAGCACGGCAGAAACACGAGCTTTTGGGCGCTCCGCGCGCACTTCTTGGATCCGCACTGGACCCCCACCCTGGCGCGCGGAGCGCGCCAGGGGCGGCGCCGGAGGCGCCGCCGGGGGGGGGCCCAGCGCGGATCCAAGAAATCCGCGCGGAGCGCCAGAACTGTACGTTTATGGCGCTTCTTCTCCTTCTCCTTCTTCTTCTTCTTCTTCGTTGTCTGCTTCTTCTTCTTCTTCGACATGCGCACCCACCCGTCGCTTTTGTTTCAGCGTGTGGCGCGGGCGGGGGGGGGGGCGGCCGCCGTGGCGCAACGCGCGCCGCGCTCGCCACGGCGCCGCGGCGAGGCCCAGAGCGGGGGAGGGCCCTCGGGACGGGCGGGCGGGCGGCCTGTGGGCGCCCGCCGAGAGCGCCAGGGCCCTCGAAGCGGGCGGCTTCGCGGCCGCCTCCTCCTGGGGGCGCCGCCGGCGGGGGGGAGGCTTCGTCTTCCCCGCTCCTGCTCCTCCTCCTCCTCCTCCTCCTCCTCCTCCTCCTCCTCCTCCTCCTCCTTATCCTTATCCTTCACGCATCATTATCCTTATCCTTATCCTTATCCTTATCCTTATCCTTATCATCCTCCTCCTGCTGCTGCTCCTCCTCCTCCTAATCGCTCCTCCTCGCTCCTCGCTCCTCCTCCTGCTCTTGCTCCTCCTCCTCTTCCTCCTCCTCCACCTCCTCCTCCTGCCTCCATTTTGGGGGGAGGGGGCGCAGGAGCCCTTGACGAGCGAATTTACCATCACCACTATCATAGGTAGGAGAGGGAGGAGGAGGAGGCGGAGGAAGAGAAGGAGGAGGAGGAGGAGGGGGAGGAGGAGGAAGAGGAGGAGGAAGGGAAGGAGGAGGAGGAGGAGGAGGAGGAGGAGGAGGAGGAGGAGGAGGAGGAGGAGGAGGAGGAGGAGGAGGAGGAGGAGGAGGAGAGGAGGAGGAGGAGGAGAGGAGGAGCAGGAGGAAAAAAGAGGTGGAGGACCTCCCCATCCTCCCTTCTTCCCCGTCTCACCGATATTAGTGGTTGTGGGGAATCGGCACATCAGCCCTGGGCCCCAGATTGTACAGTAGGAACTCGACCACAATAAACCTTCCAAAAGAACACCAACCCTGAGACCCCAGGACGTCCATTCATTTTCGGTGCGCGAGCGCCACGCTTTCCTTAGCAAAACCATGGAAGCCCAACAAAAAACAAGGGCACCCTGGAGGCAAGCAGTGTCTTTCTTGGCATGGGCTTCCACTGTACATTCAGCCAATGTGTGAACACCCCCTCTTCTCGTCCTCCTCGACCTGCTCCCTCTTCCTTGTCCTCATCCTCCCTCTGCTTGGCCCCATGACGATGCAACAACTCGAAAGCAGTCCTCGGCATCATGCACAGGCAACAAGCAGGGGCAGGAAGCAGTGGAACCCCTCGCCCAAGCACGAGACCTCGTCATCCTTCAGCCCCTCCTGACCCGCTGTCCGCGTTCAATATCCTCATCCCCCTCTCTGTTTGATTTCTCTAACAAGGCAACCTCAACTCAATCCCAAACACGTGCGGCGCGCACGCGCCAAATAATCATCCTCACCTGACCCCTTCTGCTCCTCCACCCATCACCTCATGTTCATCGTCCTCGTCTTCCGCCTCATCGTTCCTCTTGCTTCCTCCTTTTCATACCCCTCTTCCTCAGCTATAGGCTCCGTCGCTCCTCCCTCGATCCTCTCATTCTTTCCTCCTCCCTCCTCTCCCCTCCTGTATCCATTTCCTCTTGCTATATGCTCCCTCGACCGTCTCCTCCTTAGTCAACCCACCTCCCTGCAAACTCCCTCCCCCCTCTATTCCGTTTCCTTCATTTCTACACTTGTTTTTCCTCGATCCTTGCTCCTCCTCCTTCTCTTGCTCTTGATCCTCCTCCCTCCATCCAGCCCATTCTCCCAACCTCCCCCTCCCTCCTTCGAGCGCCGTGCCTCATCAATCCTGCAATCCTGCTTATTTGTTTCCCTCATCGTGACCATTACCACGACCATCATGGCTATCACCATGAGAACCATGGACACCATCGGCATCACACGACCCTTTACACATCGGACCAGCCTTCTCGGATGGAGAGCAAATGCGGGGGAAACTGGTGCAGCGTTCGGGCTGCGAGTGGCGTCAGATCGGATGTGCGAGCCATTCACTTACGCGTTCTATCTATCGCAACCCCCACTGTACAGCCCCACTATCCAGCCCGCAGTCCCACCACGGAAAGATATATCGGTCCTTTGGTCGGCCAATCCCCTCAACAACATATCTACCACTAGCACTGTCGATGTGGATCGTGTTCCTCATCGGTAACATTAGATGACTGCCCAACGCACGATACTATTCCAAATATATATCTGTATATCGTCGTCACGGGCCGATCCCAGTACACAAGTTGTTGAATGTATATACATATCCAGTTCCACCTTTCTTTCGTGCGGACACGTCAATGGTCAGAAAAAAGGCCAAGGCCCCTTTTAAAAAACCCAGACAGGCAGGGGACATATCTACAGGATCCTAAGAACCCCTCCGCCTTCAGGGCTACAGCAAACGGCAAACGCGCGGCGGAAAACCTCCCCCACGCGTTTCCCGCCGCCTCTTGACGTGAGGGGGCCCTGACCTGTCACCATCCCTAGCTTTCTACTCGGAAAAAAGGATCTGCGCTACCCTCCGGGCCAAGGCACCGGCAGATAGCAACACCTGAACACTTAACACGGGTTGGGTGGTTAGCGGGTGGGGGCCCAAACAAGTTTCGGATGCGCTTGGAGCGGCGTGTCTTCCGAAAGGGGGGGGACAGGCAGGCCTGTAATGACATGCCCAGCCCCACCCTTCTTCCGTGCGAACACGCCAATGGTCAGAGTAGGCCAAGACACCCCTTTAATATCGACGTGATCCTGAGGGCCCCCTTCCGTCTTCAGGGCTACAGCAAAAGGCAAACGCGCGGCGGAGGACCTCCCCCACGCGTTTGCCGCCGCCTCCTGACGGGGGGGGGAGGGGGCAGTGGCCTGTCACCACCCCTTGCCTTTTACTGGGGAAAGGGCCTGCGCTACCCAACTTCCCCTTCAGTGGCTGAAATCCGTCCGTGTGCATTGAAAACCGTTTAACTCTCCACCCCGCCCAGTCACTTGCACCACGCGCCGACCTACCAAAAAAACGCCAAGGACGAACAGGACAGAGGCGAAGCGTAGCCGAGATGCCCTCGCAACGCGCCGCATACGGCGGCAGGGGTAGCACGAGGCGCGCCGCGGCGAAACCGCTGCATTTCGCAGGGGCCGCCGCCCTTTCCCGATCCTTCCGCTCAGGCGGCAAATGCCCTCCACGTCATCGCTCCAGCCGCGCCTTCAGGGCGCTAGGCATCCGCTGGGGAGAACTGAAGGGCAGCCGCTCAAGGGCGCTTCGTTTCGCTCCGCCAGCGCGGCGAAGCCCGCGCCGACAACGGCCGTGGCGAAGCGAGGCGACCCCGGGCGGTTTCCTCCGCTCCCTGCGAAACCGATCCCCAAACCCAGAGCCACTCGGGCCGAGGAGGCGGGGGAAGGCGACGGGGGGAACAAGGGCGCGCGCGCGCGCGGATCAGCGCTCCTGAGAACGCGCCCTCAGGACGCATGGCTTCGGCAAGGCATGGAGCGAGGGGCCACTCATCCACGGCGGCCTCGCCTTGCCCTGCCGAGGCGGCGCGGCCGGCCCAGGGCCCCGGGGGCAGGCCGCAGAGAAGCGAGGCTGCCTCGGACGAGCGCGCCCCCGCACGTTGCGAAGCCGAAGCCCCGGCCGCCTGAGCCGCTCCAGCGGAAAGGGGCGGGAGGAGGCGATGGGGCGAGACACCTTTTGCTCTGTGGCGAGCTGCAGGAGATGGATGCCCCGCGCGACCGCGCAACCGCGCGGGCGGACGAGGGCCTCGCGCGCACGTGGTCTGCGACGGCGCCCTCGGTGCAAATGCGTGCTGCGGCCGAGCCCCCCCGCCTGCCCGCCGCGAGGGTCGCCCCCGTCGAGCCAGACCTGACAAGAGAGTCTGACGCGCCCCCGCGGCGGCAGCTGCGCCGCGTGATCGGGCCAGACAGGCCGAGGCCGCGTGCCGAAGCGGCCCTCGCGCCCCGGGGCTGGGCGGCTGAACCCCGCGAGATCCGCGCGCTGAAGCCGAGGCCGCGCGCCGCGATCCGCGCGAGAGCCACCGCAGGCCTGTCGCGGATGACCACCTCCACTGAGCAGTCCTTGCCGACAATGGTCTTGGGCGAGGCGACCCGCCACGACGGCCGCGCCGCGGTCAGCGACGTCGCCCGCCGCGAGAGCGAAGGCCTCTGAGCCGCGCAGCATGCCCTCGAGAGACGAGGAGGAGGAGCGCCGCGACGTCGAAGGGGCCCGCTGCACAGGCGAGCCCTGCCATGGCCGCCGTCGCCTCAGCAGCGCGCGGCAACGCCCGCGCCGCAGGCTCGCGGCGCCTCCGCGCCTTGAGCACCGCCCAGCTGAGGTCCAGGGGCCGCCGCAGCCCGGGCGCGGCGAAGCACGCTCCCGCCAGCGCGCAGTCGGCGGCCGCGATGCCAGCGCCCAGAGGACCTCAAGGTAGTCCGCGACGAAAGCGTCAACATGCTTGTCATTGTCTCTAAAGGCTCGCAAGCCCTGCCGAGCCGCCGTAGTGGGTCAGAAAAGCCTGCGCAGCTCGCCCGCTCCGCCGCCGCGTCTCCGCCGCCGCGCGCGCAGGGGCGCGTGGTCTGGCGGCGGGTTCCGCGGCGGCTCAGGCGAGGGGCCCCGCGGCGGGCGGCGCCCCGCGCCGTCGGCCCCGCCCGCGCCTCTCGGCTCTCGAGCCACGCCGCGGCAACTTCATAGGCGGCTCGTCCGCTGGGTTGTCCTCCGAAACGGAGACGGCCATCCAGCGATGGGGAGCAAGCCAGAGCTTCCTGCTGCTGCCGCGGCCCTACGCGACGATGGCCGCGACCACCTGGCTGTCCACCGGGTGCGCGCATCGGCTCCCGTGCTGCGAGACCTTGCGGGCACGCCGCCTCGAAGCCGCCGTCGCCGCCTGCGGCTCTCTAGCGTCTATATGTGCACCGACTTGCCGCGCGGCCGCGCCGTGCTGAGGTTGTGAGGGACGCTCCGCGCGACTCAGGGAGCGCGGGGCCAGCCGCCTCGACTGCTCCGCGTCGGGGTCGCCCGCGCCCGTCTCGAAGGCGCCCGCTTAGCCTCGGGTCTTGCGTCGCTGGCCCGCGCGGGGCATCTCGCCAATGCTGCGCGCCTGGGCGAGAGCCCCCCCTGGCGCGGCAACAGCTGGCCCGTCCCCGCCGCGACGTAAACGCTGAAGCTGTCGCCGAAAAGAAAGGCCCTGGCATTGGAAACGCCCCGCGGATCCGAGCCTTTCGCAACTGGGGCGGCGCGCCCCGCGCCGAAGCCCAGCGGGCGCCCCCTCTTATCGCTGCTGGGAAGGCGAGGGGGGGCAGCTCGGGAAGCGGACCATTCGCCTCGCGCAAGGCAACTCGGTAGCGATAGGAGTCGGCCTGCCATCTAGCTCGGACTGCGGCGGACGCTGCGACGCGACAGCGGGGCGCCGAGGGGCGGCGGCCCTGGGTTCTGCAGCTGACCTGCGTCGCGAAGTTCCACGGCCGCCCCGGCCACTCGCAGCCCTCGCCTTCCCAAGATGCCAATGAAAAAGGTGCCCTCTCCGACGCGCACGTCGTGGCCCCCGCGGTCGGCCGGGCGGGGCAGTGCTTCGGGCCGCAGGGGCCAGCTCGCCCAGAAGAGACACGGCTGCCTGCAGGGCGCGAAGATGGGCGAGCGCACCAGGCGCGGCCGCGCGCCCAACGCGGTCGAGATGAGCCCGACACTCCCGTCCGACATGCTGGCCACGTTCTGGGCGAGCCAAGACAGTTTCGAGCCGAAGGTCTCGCGAAGGAGGCCCAGAATGCCCGGGACCTCGCGGGGCAGGGGCGACTTCTCTCCGCAATGGCCGCGGCCGCCGACGTTCAGGCGCGGGAGATCTTGGCAGGGGCTGCCGGCGGCCGCGATGCAGAGGTCCACGTGTTCGCCGAGGGCGCCAAACAGCTCCTGCACCGTTGGGGCCGCCGCGCACAAGACTCGCGCAAGCCGTGATCCGCGCTAGGAGGCGCGAGGAGGCGACGGCGAGGCCCCCGACGCCATCGAAGAAGCCGATTCGCCGCACTGAGAAGACCCTGGAGACCGCCAGCGACAGAACCTGCGGGTTCGCCGCCTTCCAGGGCTGGCCAGGATCCTCGACCACGTTGAAAGGCCTGGCGCCGATGCCCAGCGGGCCGGGTACCCTCGCGCGGGCCTGCAGCGCGCTGGCCAATTCCGCGCGCAGGCTGACCGAGGCGCGCGCGCCCCCGTCCAGCTGGGACGCGCCCGCGGCCGCGACCACCCCGTCAATTCGGGCCGGCAGGGAGGCGGCGGCGGGAGGGGCATGACCGAAATCAGCAGCTCCTCGACCTCGGCGTTGAGTGAGACGGCCGCGGCGGGCGCCGACAGCGCCCAGGCCGCATTCAGGACTGCGAACACCGGCCGCCGAAACTCGAAGGCTCGCACCAAATTCCCGAGCACGGCCAGCGCGGCGCGCCAGGGCAGCTGCCTCCTCTGCACCGCGGCCGGGAAGAATGCGGCCGCCGCAAAGACCTTCGGAACGGGGGCCGCGAGACTTCCGCTGACGCCGTCGATGTCGGCCCCCATGCGCTCCACCCTCAGCTGCCTCAGGTGGGCCTTCTCGCCCGAGAAGGAGACGTCGGCCCTCTGGTACCTCGCGCGCGCCTGCTTCTGAGTGTCGCTCTCGGCCCCCGCGCGCTCGCGAGTCCGCGCCTCGTCGACGATCTCTGGCGCGTCGGAATCGTCGGTGTAGACCTGCCACCAGGCAGCATCCTGGCCGCTCCCCGCCTCCACCACTGGACAGGCGCAGTCTCTGCGCCACTCAATGTCGGATGGCAGGCTCGCTCCTCGCGGAGGCGCTGAGCGGCACGGCCCGCGGCAAATGCGCTGGAAGACGGGCGCGGCCAGCGACCTGCCCGCGGCGATGACCACGGAAGCCGGGTAGACAATGACACCGAAGAGTCGGCCTGCAGCGGACGCCACACTGCCACGTGGGCACGCCCGCCCGCCACGCGAAGAACGCGCCGCGCACTGCGGGTCGTCCCCCAACCGCAGCAGCAGCTCCCCCTTGGGGAGCACGATCGACGCCCACGACTTCGACGCGGCCAGCAGCGCCGCCTCGCCAACATGGGCCTTCAATAGCAAGTTGCCCGGCACCGTGTTCAAGACGAGCCGGGTGACCCGCTCGACGCCAGGCGCTGGCGTGCCCTTATTTTTCCGTTGCGAACCGCCCGTTCAAGACTTGCTCACCTCGCGCGCGGATCAGCTCGTTCCCCTGAAGGTCGTGAAAATGACGGGGGAGAGACAGAGTGCTGCGCGAGCTCCAGCCAGCCCTCGTCCGTCTCCACGATGGCCCTGGCGCGAGGCAGCGGATCGGGCCAATCGGTCTCGTCCAGGAGAGCTTGCTCGGGGTGGCGCAACAACGCGGCGACGTCGTCGTCGGCGAAGTCGAGCGCGTCGAGCGTGGCGGCGCACTCCCGCGAGGGTAGCCCAGGGCCAAGCTCGCTGAGCCTGCAGGGGGGGCTCGCACGCCTGACCCCCCCTCGTTAGCAGAGCCGATCCCGCCCGCCACCTCGCTGAGCGGCGGCGCCTCGATCTTCGCGAACGGGTCGGCCGCGAGCGCCGCCGCGCAGCAGTGCCAGCGGGCATGCGTCCGCACATAGCCAGCCGAGAAGGTCAGCCCGTTGCGCCGGCACTCCTGGGCTCGCCCGCAGTAGGTGCAGTTCAGGGCCACGACGACGAGGTGCAGCCAGGCCGCCTCGCAAGCCTCCAGACCTCTGGGCGCTTCCGCCACCGCCGAGACCAAGGGTCGGCGCGGTCGGCAAGCCAGCTGCCCACCAGCTCGGTCGAACGCAGGGGAAGAAGAAGGAAGACCATCACGAACTCTCTTGCCCGCAGCTGCCTTGCTCCCCAAAAATGTGCCCGCGCGCAGGCTGGGCGACCGAGCGACGGTGCCGAGGCCCCCAGGATAGCTGCGACCCGCGGCAACCAGCTGCGTCGCGAGGTCCACGGCCGCCACGGTCGACTCGGAGCCGCAGGCGAGCTCGCCCAGCCAGGACTGGAGGGCGCAGGCCGCGGCAGTGCCCGCTGGAAGCCCCGCGCGAGCGGCAAGGGAAGGGGGCCCCGCGGCGCCCTCACCCCCAAGGGGGTGGCGCGATTTCCGCACCTGCCCAGCCGATGGCTGGTGGGCCCACGCCGCGAGCTCCGTATCCAGTCGCTCCAGTGGCACCAGCGCTTTTGATGGAGGCATCGGCCACCCTCCTGAGGGAGGCTCTACCATGGCACCAGCCCAGCGGTCCCCCGCCGTAGCTCACCGCGTCCGAGCGGCAGTCAGCCGCTGTCGGTACTGAGCGGACGTCTCGCCTGGCTTTTCAGGGTACTCCTTCTTGCAACTCTGGAAGTAGGAGTCGCCACTACCGCCAGCCTCCCCCTTCGACCACGGCCCGACGCGCTTCGCTAGCGCTTTTGGCTCCTGGCCAGAAGCCGCGGCCGCCATGGACTTGCGGCTGGAGGCCGGCGCCGCCGCCTAAGCGGAGGCTGCCGCGCGGGCCCAGCGGGCATCGCTGTCGCGGGGGGTACCCCCCCGAACAGCCTGCCGGCGGAAGTTCCAGCGATGCATGGGCGCACCTCCGCTTGGCCACTGCCTTAGCCCGGCTCTTGGCAGCAGCCAGCCGCGCCGCGAGCACGTCGAGCTTCATCTCCCCGAGCTGGATGCCGCGGATGAGCTCCTCCCCCTCGCCGCGGATCACGGTCGGCTCGCCCCGAGGCGGCGCGAGCTCCACGCACTTCGCCGCCGCCCAATTGCTGTCCAGGGTGGCGACCTGCACGACCATGAAGCGCTAGACTAGCCAGCGGCAGGCCTGGGCAGGCTTGGCCTGCGCCAGCAGGTCGACCGAATCGGCGACCGCGCGCTGCTCGCGGCACGGCTGGAATGGGTACGGAAAAATGGATACAATGCCCAACAACAAATGTTGTCCCAAACCAACAGCGGCCGCTGTTGGGCAAGCGGCCTTGTGTCTCAAGTAGCCACAGGCCGCGGCGGCGCGGACAGCGGGTCCTGTTCAAAATGAACAGGAACTGCTGTTGGGAATTGTACCCTTTCGTTGACCCGCTCAGGGCGGGGACGCAACGCTCGGGGGGGCTACAATCAACCATGATAGTAAGGATGGGGCAACTTTCCAAGCTACCCCTGCATCCCTGCCCCTTCGGTATCCGGCATCCTTCGGCATTCTGCTGCGCTCCGCACGGAAAACGTTGGCAGCAATTCGTTCCGTGCCCATCTCGCTCGTGCCGAGAATGGAAACCGCCCCGGGCTGCCCGCGGGGACTTTGTCGCGAGGCCGGCCGAGACTCCACACGGAGAGGCCGCCTGGGCGCGAGCCCGGCGCCGCACCCGCCCCCTCCTGCGCCTCCGCCGGCTCTCCAGGAGAGCCGGCGGAGGACCTCCCCCCCTCCCCCCTCGCCGCCCGCCCCCCCCCCCTCGCTACCCCCCCTCGCTCCACCCTGACCCCTCGCCCCTCGCTGCCCTCGCCCTCGCTCCCTCCGCCCTCGCTCCTCCGCCCTCGCTCCCCCCTCGCCCCCCCCCCTCGCCCTCCCCCCTCGCTCCTCCCCTACTCGCTCCTCCCCCCCCCCTGTCCCCCCCTCCTGGAGGAGGGCAGAAAGAGGAGGAGGAGGAGGAGGAGAAGGAGAAGAAGGAGGAGGAGGACACAGACCCCCGACGCCATGATTTTGCTTCGTGACGTCTTCCCCCTGACAGGCTTTTCGTCCCGGGTTGTTTTCCGACGGTCCCGAGGCCCGGTGACGGCCCCCCGATGGCCAAAATAGCGAAGAACCGCCTGTCGTGTTTTTTCCCTGACCCGAGGGGGTCTGCAGAAGAGGAGGAGGAGGAGGAGGAGGAGGAGGAGGAGGAGGAGGAGGAGGAGGACGAGGAGGAGGAGGAGGAGGAGGAGGAGGAGGAGGAGGACGAGGAGGAGGAGGAGGAGGAGGAGGAGGAGGAGGAGGAGGAGGAGGATGGGGCAGGAGGGGGAGAATCCTCCCTGCCTCCCTTCCTCCCTCGCTCTTCCTGCGGCCCCCTGGTCCCAGTCGGCTGGGCGCCTCGCTCCGCACCGGCAGCTCCGCGCCGGAGAGCTCGGCGAAGAGCTCGCCCGACATGGGACTCTCGCTGCAACTGTCGTCCTTGGCCCAACTTACGGCGGGGCTGGTTACGAGGAGGATGGGACGAGGCACGCAACCGTGAAGGATACGACAGCATTCGCATGCAAAAGACAAACAGAAAAACGACAAAACGAGGTAATTAGGCGGGGAGAAGACGGTCGAGCTCATCCTCTACGACCTCCCGACCTCCTCCTTCCTCCGCCTCTCCTCGGCAGCCCTCCCCAGCTCCGCGGCCTCGTCTCGCGTGAGGCCGTGCAGCGCGAGGCAGGATTGGACGAGGGGGGGGGAAGGTTAATGATGATGACGATGACGACGACGACGACGACGACGACGACGACGACGACGACGACGATGATGATGATGATGATGATGATGATGATGCTGATGATGATGATGATGATGATGATGATGATGATGATGATGAGGATGCGGATGATGATGATGATGATGATGATGATGGTGATGATGGTGATGATGATGATGATGATGATGATGATGCAGATGCATATGCATATGCATATGCAGATGCAGATGCAGATGATGATGATGATGCTGATGATGATGATGATAATGATGTTGGTGATGATGATGATGATGATGATGATGATGATGATGATGATGATGATGATGATCATGATCATGATCATGATGATGTTGTTGTTGATGATGATGATGATGATGATGATGATGATGATGCTGATGCTGATGCTGATGATGATGACGATTTTGATGATGCTGATGCTGGTGTTGTTGATAATGCTGATGATGATGCTGCGAGGAGGAGGAGGAGGAGGAGGAGGAGGAGGAGGAGGAGGAAGAGGAATAGCAGGAGGGAGGCTAAGGCTAAGCGCGTTGGGGGCGGAGTCCGAGCAGCACGCCACTACACGGGGCGTGTCATCGAAGGGGAGCAGTTGCCCCTGCGAGCGACATGGATGCAAAGGCCTCGCGACTGCGCGAGGCCTGCCTGCCGCGGGCGCGCCGGGGATCGGTGGCCCCGCGCGCGCTGGTGGGGCAGCGGAGGAGAATCTACCTCCTCACGCTGGGAGGTAGGGTAGAAGTCGCGCACCCTCCACCAACGAGGACACGAGGAGGGAAACGAGGGAGGAGAGGAAGGAGAGAGGATGGGGAATGAGGGGGAGTTGGGGAAGTGGGGGAAGAGGAAGAGGAGGAGGAGGACGAGGAGGAGGAGGAGCAAGGGTGACCTGATGGGAGCATGAGGGGGATGAGGAGAAGGAGAGAAGGAGAAGGACGATGAGTAGATGACGGAGAGGTGTTGTCTCAGTCAGGTTCGCAAGCTTGGGGCTCCTAGGACTGAATTCACTGGCTTTCGGATGTGTCAGGGAGCTCCCGGAGGATTTCCGAAATCTCCAGGGGCTCTCTCAGTGGAGTGATGGAGAGGAGGGACGGAGAGGAGGGACGAGAACGAAAGTGGGACGCAGAGGAACATGACAAGAATCACACCAGGAGGGTGATGCGGCAAAGGGTAGAGCCGCACTTATCGTCCGCCACCGTGGACTCCTCCTGATCCTCCCCTCCCCTCTGCCGCCGCCTGCACCTCACCTCCTCCTCTTCCTAGGGCTCCCAACTTCGCGCGTCGCGCTACGCGAAGCGCGAAGAACTTCGCGCTCTCGCGCCGCCCCACCAAAGGGAGAAGAGGAGGACGAAGAGGAGGGGGAGAAGGAGCGAGGACCGCGAAGAGCGAATCACTTCGCGCCCTCGAGGGCGCCCTTGTCTTCGTCCTTCCTCCGCCCCTCTGCCAGCCTCCCGCCCTGCTCCTCCTCCTCCTCCTCCTCCTCGTCCGCCGACTCGACTCCTCTTTCTCCTCCTGCTTTTCTTAGGCAGGCTGCTGGGCGCGCACACCCGTAGCGTTAGTCTCCTCCTGCTCCTTCTCCTCCCTCCTCCTCCAAGCCCGCTGCTTCGTCCTCGTCCTCATCCTCGTCCTCGGCAGCACCTTCCTTCTTCACATCATTGTTCATTGCACCGGCCTTGCGCAGACGTGCTGCAGCGGATTTCTGCGTGGATGTTTGCCCGAAACGGCGAGCGAAAAAGGAAGTGAATTTCGCGTGGATTCTTTAGGCCTTCATTCCTGGTCAAACCAAATTCCGCACGAAACTCACCTCGAAATCCGGAACGAAATTCCCCAGGACACTCTGGGCCCACCCCATCGTTTTCCGATCGACATCCGCTCTGCGATGTTGGCGCCATGACATTGTTCCTCTCCCTTCCCTCGTGGTGCGCCCAATGCCCTGGTGACGCCCGTCGCACATGGGGGATGGGGACGGCGGAGTGGGATCGGGAGGAATAACCGAAGGATGCAAGTGTCGATCCCCCGCCGTTATCCCTGGCTTCGCCGAAAACAGGGAGGCCGAGAATTGCTTCCCGCTGTAACTTTCCATAGCCCAGCACGGCGCAATCCGTCCCTGTGCCCTCTTCGGCGCGCAGAGGCGAGTTGGAAAGCTTCTCTCTTGTATGGCAAAATTTCTCAATGTGTTCTTGAGTCTCGTTTAAACGATCCCCATCCCCAGCGGCGTGGCCTGGGCCCCACTGACCGATTAACACCCCTAGGTGGGGATGTAGGTCGTTCCCTTCGAGCGTCGAGGGGTGTATCCCCAACAGGGGTGGTAATGTGGTGGGGGTCTCGAAGGGGATGGGGATGGGGATGGGGATGGGGATGGAGATTGGTTAAACGATACCGAATTCTCGGGCTGTCCCTTCCGATAGTTTCTCGGGCTGCCCTGGCATGGGGCGGTTTTTCTGGAGGTGGCTCGGCAGAGGGCCCCTGTCGCGCCACCACCGAACACCGCCCAACCTTGACTTTGCTCCCGAGGGCCGTTCTCGGCGCTCATTTTTCCCAGGCAGCGCTTGCACGGAAAGGTTCTCACCTGCGCTTCTGATTGGATTTTTGGAGGTCGGAAAGGGGTGCGGTATAAAGGGGTGCGGTACCAATGCAGAACATCGCGATATTATCTACGATAGCCGCAAGCGCGATGCACCCCAATTTCAACAACGTGGCGAATCTTAAGGATCCTCACCCAAGATGAGGACCCTGAAGATTCGCCACGTTCCGGCCACTTGCCGCCCCGTGCTTCGGGGGTAGGGTCCCAAGAAGTCGCCACGTTCCAGCCCGTTGCGGCCTTTGGGGGTGCCTCAGGGATTCGCCATGTTCCGGGCCGTGGTCGCCCGCTGCCGACCGCTGCAGCCTGTGGGGGTGCCCCTGTGGGGGTGCACTTCGAAAAACGACCGCAAGACCGTTGTGCATCAAGTGGCCTACACATTTACATAGCCATGACTTACGTATGTTTTCGTGTTCGAGCAAGCCGCCCGAACAATTACGAGAGCCCAAACAAGCAGCCGAGTCGATCCAAGACGGCTCAACAACGACCCAAGACAGCTCCAAGAGAGCACCTTTCGGTTTCTATGCGGCCTCCAAACAGCCACAGAACACTCCATAATAACAGCTGCAATATGGCCCAAGACCACTCAAGCACGGCGCACCTCACATGGCGCCACAAGAGGGCTCAAGACGTGCCCAAGAGACTCCCAACAACAAGGCCGCCAGCGAAGCTCAAACATGCGAAGCGCGTGGGATAATACAGCAACACCGAATGTTGTTGGCTATCCGGAGGCCGCGTATTCAGTTCCAGATCGCATCGCAGAGAATCCAAATACGCCCCCAAGACAGACCAACGCGGCCCCAATGCTGTCCCAAGGCATGCCCAACACGACCCGAGAACCTCCCAAATCTGCCCAAGATGGCTCCAAGACGGCCTCAATAACTGCCCAGAATTCCGAAATATGGTTCAATCGAGCATCCGCGAGGGAACTCTGTGCTTCCGGCTGGTCCCCAATGGGCCCCCAGCATGCCCCCAAGAGGCCCCCGAGAGTGCCCACGAAGCCCTCGAACGCCCAAGGGAGCGTCCAACATGCCTGCGAGGAGGGGAGCGAAGACAAAGGAGGATGCAACAGGACAACGGGGCTGCGGACGAAGAGGGGTGCCCCAGACCTGCGCCACTCCGAGCGAGGCGCTGAACTGGAACTGGTCCTACATTCAACCTCCCTCCTGCTGCGCTGCGCCGGAACGGTGGCGGAGTTTGCCGCAGCCAGCTGGATGGTGCCAACAAACAGCCCCAACCAACAGCCTTGTGAAGCTCAGAATCGCAGGGAATTCGCTGGACAATCGAGGCGCTGTGGCCGCGCTTCGTCTTCCTTCGTGGTTTTACCGGAGGCCGCTTCGAAGAGGAGGTTGATTCTTCTGCCTGGGGACCACTGTCCGACATGCTGCCGAGGCGACTGCAAAGCTGGATAACACATGATGGGCGCACGAGGCCATGGTTGAACATACGATCGAAATTGCCGCCCATGCACGCAAGCCAGAATAGGAAGCCGATTACAGTGCCGAGGAAGCATGTTTTCATGATGTCGCCGAATCAGCCGCCAAGCGAGCTGCATGCATCGGATACTACGCATCGACCTTCCACCAGGCTTGGCAAGACGAGGGGCCACGCGCTCGAGCTGCCGGGAAGAAATCCCACTGTAAACGCCACTGCGAATCGTTCTGAGCCGGCTCTTGAATTAGGCCCGCTCCTCCTCCACGCTGGCAGTCCCAACGAGAAACCCTTCCAGGGGCGTGGCGCTCACAGCAGTTACACCTCCCACGAGAAGATTACTCATCATCGGATGATTTCAACTCGTGAACGTTTTCGCACTCGGCGTTTCGACATTGGGCGGAAGGGGGGGTGGAGGGGTCTGTGACTCCAGACCTCTGCTTAGTGCGACTGTTTGCAGCAGTGCGTCCTATGGGGGGAGGCTCCACCTGCCCGAAGCAGGCGCCCAGAACAGCTCAGATCTACTCCACGGGGGGGGTGAGTGGAGGGTGCGAGGGCCCGCGCCGATCCGCGAAACAATGATGAATCGGAAGACGACGACCGCCTCCTCCTGCTCGCCACGGCCTCGCACTTCTCGGGGATGGACAGAAGCCCCTTTGGTAAAACCAGGCTCAATGAAAGCGACCTCGGGCCCAGACCTGGCGGGCGCAAGCCCGGAAAAGGCCAGCCGCGGCGCCCTCTCGAGAGCCGAAAACGGACAATTCACTAATCGGCGTGTCAGGGTGGGGGCTCTGTCCACCCCCGAACTTCGGGTGGAGAATGACCTCAACACAACAACGAGCTCGGCCCGCCAGCCTGAATGGGCCCAGGGACACACAAATAAATACACACAAATCCCAGGATTCCCATATATTTCCCCATATTTTCTGTATTTTTTTCCTCCCCCCCCCACTTCCCATATTTTCTTATTTTCCTGGGAATCGACGATTGATTGTGTCTGTGTTTTTTCCCCTCCTAACAGCCGCAGGCTGCTCCTCGCCCGCCGGCCCCCGTCGCCATCGTGCACAGTAGCGCACTCCGAGGAGAGATCCGCCGCGCCCTCGGGGCCCTCCGTGCGACGAGCTCCGGAGCCTCCCTTTGGCGGCGAGCGAGGGGAAGGCGGCGGGCCTGCTCAGAAGCCCCCTCTCGCGCCCTCTGAGGAGCCGTCCGCGTCTTCGGGGAAGGCTCAGACCACCTCTCAGAGAAGGCCGAAGGACTCCCGAGCCTCCCGAGGAGGCCCGCCCTTTCTCCCTTCTTCCCCGCCACGGGCATTCTGAGGTTGACGTCCGCTAGGCGGTGCGTCCTTGAAGATGATACCCATCCTTGGCCCTTCTCGGGGTAAGGACCGCGCGGTGATCTCGAAATCTCTGGAGACGTCGCCGCGCGGTTCGTCACCATATGGTCTTGGGATCTCGGAGGGCCGTCACCCGAGACCTCCACAAGCATGCGGTGAACCCAAATCCCCTTCGTCTCACCACGCGGTGTGGTCACCACACCGCTTGGGGGCCGGCGGCCTTCACTAACAAAACCTTTGGCCAGGAAAGTACCGGGGTGCTCTTCGGCGGCACCTGGGCCGGGCATGGCAAGGGGAGGCCCGCCGGTAAGGCGTATGGGCACGAGAGTCGGAGTGCTGGCGGGCACACACGTCGAGCCCAAGCAACGGCTTGAGAGGAGAAGGAGGAGGATGATGATGATGAGGAGGAGGAGGAGGAGGAGAAGGAGAACGAGAGGAAAAAGGATGATAACGAGAAAGAGGAGGAGGAGAAGGAGGAGGAGGAGGAGGAGGAGGAGGAGGAGGAGCGGCATGAGGAGGAGGAGAATGAAGAGGAGGAGGAGGAGGGGGCGGAGGAGGAGGAGGAGGAGGAGGAGGAGGAGGAGGAGGAGAAGGAGGAGGAGTAGGAGGTGGAGTGTGAAACAAAGGCGAGCGCCATGAAGGACAACCCTTCAGGGAGGGCAAGGCCCACCACGCACACTGACCTTGGCAGGAGGGGGGGAGGAGAGGGACAAGCGTAAAGATGAGAAGAGGCGGACCGGGAGGGACAGCGGGGAAGAGGGGGGACAGGGGGCACGCAAAGGGGGGCGGGCACTCCTCCGCCGTGGTGCTGATCTCGCTCCCATGCGGCTCCTCGCGGTCCGGCTGGCGACGGCATCGGCGCCCCCGACCACCCGCTGGGCTCCGCCGCGTGCGCGCCACTCTTTCCCCTCCCCCGCCCTGCATCGAGCGCGCGCTAACACGGATTGGGGATGCGTGGATTTGGCGCGTGGGCGCCGGAACCAAGGATCGGGGAAGGCCCCCCCCCGGAACGTGAAGCCGATGCCGCCTGAGCTGGCGACGGAGCGAGCCGATTCCGCAGGGAAGCGGGAAGCGGGTCCTGCCGTGAATCCATGTTTGCGCTCCCCTGAAATGGAGGAGGAGGAACAGGAGGAGGAGGAGGAGGAGGAGGAGGAGGAGAAGGCTAGAGAGGCTAGCGGCGCGACGTGGAGCCCTCCCCCTCAGCCTCCGCTTCCCGCCCCACCCTTACACGCTCCCTCCCCAGGTAGCCGGCGTGGCCCACTATCATGACTACTCCACGCCCCACGGGTAGCTTCGTCGTCATGACCCGCCGCTTCCGCGCATGGCGTGCGTACTTTACATGTCGGCTGGCGACGGCCTCGGCGCCCCCGACCAACCGCCAGGCTCCGCCACGTGCACGCCATGCCTTCCCCTCCCCCTGCCCCTGGGTGGAGAAGGAGGAGGCCAGAGAGGCCAGAGGCGCAACGTGGACCCCTCACCCTCGCCCTCCCCCGCCCTGGCCTTCCCCGTGCATGCGCTCCCGCCACACATTCGGGGGCGTCTAAAATTGGGAGCTCGCAGATCATGGCTGGAGGCATGTGCGTGAAGAGTGGGAGGCAGTGGACGTCATGAACGAAGAACACATAAAGAGAACACCTTCATAATAAGAGCCCCAACAAGCAGAACCATGTTTTATACGCACCCGAGGATGGAATCCCACAGGGGCAGGGCTGTTTAGTGAAGGCCCAAGGACGTTAAGTGAATGCCAATCATGGGGGTCGGGGTGGTGCTTCCTCCTCTGGAAGGGGGTCATCAATCTGGGAAGGTATCATGGCCCTGGCCATGATACCCCCCCCCTGTCATCCCCCCCCCTTCTTGGCCACCCCCGACACCTGGCCCGTCATGGCTATTGAGCGCCCCCCGGACAGCTTCGTCATTGTGGCCTGCCGCTTCCGCGCATGGCGTGCTTTACACGTCCGCCGGCCCCCCCCCCTACTCAAAAGCGGCTCGTGGCATCCGTTGACGCTACCATCGCAGCGCATCCCAGCCGCTTGGACTGGCGCTCAGGCCTCGGCGCCCGCTGCTGTTACCACCACTGCCGCCGTCGCCGTCGCCGTCGCCGTCGCCGTCGCCGCCGCCGCCGCCGTCGCCCTCGTCGTCGTCGTCGTCGTCGTCGTCGTCGTCGTCGTCGTCGTCGTCGTCGTCGTCGGACCGTCGTCGTCGTCGTCGTCGTTGTCGTCGTCGTCGTCGGAGGAGGAGGACGGGGGAAACCCTGAGACCCGACGCAACGAACAATCCCACCAGCCCTCTGGGCATAGGTGGTCTAGAGAGTTTCCTCTTCCAACACCCTTCTTCCCCTTCGGGGGTTTACCCCTCCTCCCCACCCCCTCCCCTGGACCGGGACCGGGGCGGTCGCGAGCGGTCAGAGCGTCCAAGATGGCCCAAGACGGCTCCAAGAAGGCCTCTGGGAGCCCAAGATGACCTCCAAGACGGCTCAAGATAGCCCGAAATGCCTCAATATGGCTTCCAAGATGCTCCAAGAGGAGCCAAGAAGATTCCAAGACGGCTCCAAGAAGCCTCCGAGACATCCAAGGAGGCCTCCAAGAGGCCAGAATCCTCCCAAAACATGAGGACAGCCAGTGATTTGCGTCTTCTCGCCTTTTCGCTTCCGATGGCCATCCGAGGCCCCAAGATGGCTCCAAAACGGCCCAAGAGGGGCCCAAGAAAGCCTCAAGACGGCCCCAAGAGCGCCCAAGAGCGCTCCAAGAGCGCCCCAAGAGGCGATTTTAGAGGCTCTAGAGGGGCAGCGCTAATTTTGGACCCCCCCTCTTTGATCGATGTCCTCCAAGATGGCCCCCAGAAGCGCCCAGAAGGCCCCAAGAGGCCGCAAGATGGCCCCAAGATGGCGCAAAGATGGCCGCAAGAGGCCCCCAAGAGGCCCCAAGGAGCCCCCTCTAGAGGACCCCAAGCAGCCCCAAGAGGCCCCCCCGAGGCACCCAAGACGCCCAAGAGCCCCCCAGGACCGTCAAGAGACCCCCAAGACGTCCCAAGAGGCCTCCAAGAAGCGTCCAAGAGATATCCCAAAAGACTTCGAGAGGCATCCAAGAGACCTCTGGCCCTGTTGCTTGCCCTCTTCCTCCTGCTCCTCCTTCCTGATCCTACTCCTTCTCTTCCTCCTCCTCCTTCTCCTCCTTCTCCTCCTCCTCCTCCTCCTCCCCCCTCCTCATCCCATTCATCTTCTTCTCCCCACTCCCTCATCCATCCATCCAGCCTCCTCCTTCTCCTCCTCCCTCCTTCGCACGGTTCGGCCGTCCCACTCACCTCACCTTGCCTGGACATCGTTTCTGGATGGGCTGGTGGGGAGACGCGAGGCGTCTACGTAGAATTGCATGATCATGAAAATTCACGACCAGAGCCCTGGACGCCATCTTTCTGCACGGCGGCGAGCGAGGGGTGGGCAAGTCAGAAGGAGAAGTCCTTCTCAGAGGGCGGCTGGACTGCTCAGAAGCCCTCGCGCCTTCTGAGAACTGCTCTGTGTCTTCGGGGAAGACTTGGACACCTTCCCAGAAGGCGGGGCGACGTCCGAGCCTTCTGAGAAGGCATGCCCCTTTTTCCTCCCCCACGGGCTCGCCGCAAATCTGCGTCATCTTTCGAGCCGGACCGATCTTTGTGAGGGCCCCAGAGCCCGAAACCGGGCAAAACGCCCGGCGGAAAGATGGAGACGCCAAGATCCCACGGGGAGGGCAAGCCGGGTGCGCCCGCAAGTGCCGACCCCCTCACTCCTCCTCCTCCTCCTCCTCCTCCTCTTCCTCCTCCTCCTCCTCCTCCTCCTCCTCCTCCTCCTCCTCCTCCTCCTCCTCCTCCTCCTCCTCCTCCTCCTCCTCCGTTTGACGTTGAGCGGACCTAATGCGAGTGCATCTGGCGTTCTTGATGGTGCGCAGGCTAGCGTAAGATCGACTCGGCTCAAAGGGTACCTGGCGGGCGCCGCGGAACAGGCACGAAAGAACGTCTGGCGACGAGGGTAGCAGTGAGAGCAGGCGCCCGCCAGGTACAGCAGCATGTACCTTGGTATGTCAGTCATTACCTGGTGAACCCCAATCCTCGCAGTGTGTCCCCATCCCCTCGCATTTTAGGTAATCACATGCTGCGGGAAAGAAAGGTGCAGTAAATGGCTGAACGCTGTGTTGTCCTCCTCTTTCTCCTTCTCCTCCTCCTCCTCTTCCTCCTCCTCCTCCTCCTCCAAACCCGCCTGCCGTGCAGCTGGCGAGGGGGCCAGACGGGACCGCGAAAAGCGCACAGGGAGGTCGGGCGAGAACGGGAAGGCTTGCTGAGACAACGGCGGACCATCCCGCCCAGATCCACTTCAGATCCCTCCCCGGAGCCCTCCTGGGGTCGATCCTGGCCCGCTTTTTTCCGAAACGGGCCCTGAGAAGCATTTACGGTAGGAGCTCGACCACAAGAAACCTTCCACAAGGAACCCAGGCCTGAGACCCCAGGACGTCTATTAATTGTTGGTGTGGGAACGTCACGCTTCCCTAGCAAAACCATCGAAACCCAAGTAATCCAGGGCACCCTGGAGGCAAGCAGGGTGTTTCTTGGCACGGGTTCCCACTGTAGACGATCCCAATCCTCCAGGGTCGAGGGTTCGCAGGCCGCCCCCGCCAACCCCCAAGATTGGATGGGTCCCAAGGTTCACAGGCCACCCCCCTCGATGGGATGCGGACGACGACGACGACGACGACGAAGACGACGACGACGACGACGCCCACGCCACAGGGGGGGTGACCCATCGCGCGTGGGGGGAGGGGACCCGGGGCCGGAGCACTGGATCATACATGTTGCTCCCTTCGGGTTTTGCGGGGTCTATCCCCAACTGCTGGGCGGTGGGATGGTGGGGCTGAGACACCATGGCCCGGTGGGGATGGGGATCGGCTAAACCGATGTTGAGACCCAGCCGCAGCCACGAGCCGCCTCTGGGGATGCCCTGGCAAGAGCGCACAACGCTGGGCAGGGCACGCCGTTGTCTCGACCGGCCCTCCTCTGAGGGGAAAGCTTCAGGGGCAACGAAAGGGGGGACTGGCATAGGGGGGGGGACATCGACTTGAAATCGGCGATG